TATATGGACATGGAAATATAAGGAGAGCCTTATACAAATATAATATTTGCATAAGGAGATACAAATGCAGCCTTATCTTCCACATGTAAACAGTGCAGACTGGTGCACCTAGCTCTTCACAAGATGGCGCCTAAAATTCTCACCAAGCGCGGTCAGTGGCCGTGTCAGTGGTCCTGTTTCAGGGACAGGGGCTGCAGTTCACATTGGTTCAAATATAATTGAAGTTCTGCAGCTCGGGAAAAGGTCCTGATTGTGTTAACAGATGTCTGCACCCCTGAAGCAGTTTTCTGTTTTCTCCCTTCCTCGTTTGTTGGAGTTTTTTTTTGTGGTGACGTCACGAGCGCCTTTCAGTTTCCGGATTCGCTTTCTGTTCGTGAAAAAAGCAGGGAAAACGATTACCGCATCAGGTCCACCATATTGGTCCGGGTAACACCGGCTAGTATAAAACCACTGACCTATATACCAGTATACTCCTAGAAATGGGTCATTGAGTAAAACCGTTTAAATAAAATAAAATAAAATAAAATAAAACAAAATAAAACAAAATAAAATAAAACAAAACAAAAAGATGGTTTCACAAAATTATCACACACTAAACGTCACATTTGTATCTCCAAAAAAAAAAAACCCCAAAAGAATTAAACCTCGTCTGTCAATTTTGGACTCAAGAAATTTACACGTATTTTGCATCACACGCATTAAGTTAATCGTGTCCTGATTGGTCAGTCGGTGGAGACCCCGCCTCAAACCGGAAGCGCGGTAAAATTTGTGAGTGCGCTTTTTCAAGACTCCTGTCGTGGATTTGAAACGTCCGARGTAAAACTGCTTTCCTACATATTTTTTCAATCAGTGTTGATGATTAAATGTAATGCCGAAGTGTTCAGGTGACCCTCTGAAACGATAAAACTGTTGTAAATCCCGTTCGATTCCGAGACACGTTCTGCTGCGACCCAAACAAAATTAAATATTGAGATTTGTCAGCGCAGTCCGGTTTGTGTTGCTCTGCAGCGGGGATGGACGTGGAGGACATCCTGGAGTTCCGGGTCCCGGTGGAGAACAACAAGTCCSTGTTCGTGTGGGACATTCAGCCGGTTCTGACGGAGGCTCAGATCCATGTAAGTCCATCTGGACCAGGTCCGGAACCAGAAACTGGACCTGAGGGACCAGTTCTTGTGAAAACTATTAACTTTGTTTTAAATGGTTTCGTTTCTCATTTCTTGTTTGTTTGTCAGCAGGAAACCAATT